GGCATACAGAGAAGTTGATTATTAATTGTAGGGCATCCTTGATTAATTGCAGGTGGCTGAAGGTTACAGACTTCATCTGGCTATCCACAAGACTGTGAGATTCAAGGACCTCGGCACTCCTGGGACACATCAGGAGTGCCGAGGCTCTGCCATACCAAGTAAGACTCAAAAGGCCAGGAAGATTTAGAATGAAACAGAGAGAGAGTGGAGTATACCTAACACATGGTTTTAATAACTTTTATGTTGAATTTAGGAGTAATTGGGGTTTGTTTAACATGCTTGAGATGTTTGTGGCAATTTGACATATTAGCAAATTAGAGAGATTGACCTCATGTTTCAACTTAAAATGTGTAATTTTACACTTGTGATTTCTTTTTTTGAGTTGAGGTCTCTCTCTGTTCCCCAGGCTGAAGTATAGTGGCTTGGTCATGGCTCACTGCAGCCTCTAACTTCTGGACTCAGGCGATCCTTCCATCTCAGTCTTCCTAGTAGCTGGAATGGGTTGTCGCTATGTTACCCTGGCTGGTCTTGAACTCTTGGGCTCAAGCAGTTCTCTCAGCTCAACCTCCCAAAGTGCTGGGATTATAGGCATGAGTGACTGCGCCTGGCCTACACATGTGATGTCAAAATGAATGGTGTAAGAAAATTGGACTCAGTTCATACGGTATATGGTATGGGAATGTTTCAGAAAACTTGAGAATCACTATATTTATAAATTTAATTTATTTAGACATGTATGAGTTAGGTACTAGGGAGGTTTTATTGATTGGCATTAAAAGTCTTCCCTGTGAGACATTAGACAACTTTGAAAATAAAAATAAAGCTCATGAAATGTATAAATGCAGTTTAGAACAAGAAAATTCAGACTGTTCAACTTGGATAAGTCCACTCTCTAAAAGTGACTGCTCTTACTTTATACAGTTGTCTAAATTTATACAGTTGTCTAAATTTATACACACTGTGTCGGGCATAGTGGTTCATGCCTATAATCCCAGCACTTTGAGAGGCCGAGGCAAGAAGACTACCTGAGCCCACGGGTTCGAGACCAGCCTGGTCAACTTGGCGAGCCCTCATCTCTGCAATAAATAAAAAAATTAGTTGGGCGTGGTGGTGTGTGCCTATAGTTCCAGCTACTTGGAAGACTGAGGCGGAAGGATCACCTGAACCCAGCAGGTCAAGGCTGCAGTGGCTGTGAGCATGCTACTGCACTCCAGCCTGGGACGACAGAGTGAGATGCCGACTCAAAAAAAAAAAAAAAAGTTACAGAAGTGTGAAAATCCTGAATATACATAAAATACACACGCACACATATATGTATATACAATTTAAGCCATGAGTTACTGTACATAATCTTTTCTGAACACAAATGCTACTCTCCGGAGCTCCCAAAGTTCACACACTCACACAATATTGTTTAAAGGATGTCTGGCACTTTGCCACTCTCACGTTGTCAAATAAGTCCATGGGCTCATAGCACACTGAAGTCCAAGGAGTAATGAAGAATGTGTTTGCAGTTCCGACTCCAGTTGCTTTGCTACTGTGGGAAATAATTCGATTTGTGTCCTTCCTACACTTAATTTGAAGGCAAAGTTGTTGCAAGTATGCCAGTGCCTGCCTTTGTATTCATTCCACCATTAGAGCATTACACATTCAGGGAAATCCCACTGCAGCTTTACAGAACACAGCCATTAGTCTTGGTGCTTTCTCCCAAACACACATTTTGCTTGCTGGTGCACAATCTGCGCCAGCTTGATCCATTTTAATTTTTAACTGAATTAATTCTGCTCCCTCTAGCGTGTGCCAAATATGGAACAGAAAGCCAAATGCCCCTTTGGAGTCATCCACACACAGTTAGTTGTCTTAGACACGGCAAAGTGTTGAGGAGTCCTCAGTTACTTACTGAAGTGCCATCAAAACAGCCAGGCTGGGTGTTTCAAACAAAGGCAGGTGTGGGAAAATGATTTATTTATTTCAGTAGGATGAAAATGATTCTTGGTATACTTGAACTTCAAGGGCAGTCTTTCACTGTGGCAGTCATTTAGGTCAGCATCATTACCTCACTCTCAAAAACTTAGCAAGTGATGGAAAATCAGAGGCCACACCCACCAGCATCAGTCATAATGAGCTTGCACATCTCTTATTATTCCCCAAATCACTAGAATGGGCTGCCCCTGGTGGACTTTTGTTATTCCTTTGGCCCACCAGCCTCTGAACCCAGTTGGGGAGATCCCACCACACCTCAGCAGGAGGCAAAGATAGCCTCTTGTCTGGAAAAGCTGACATTGCTACTCATTATCCCAGCCTCCTCACAGCTAGAGTAAGAAGCAGAGCAGGGTAGGGGTGATGGAGGAGTCTCCCCAGGGTGGCAGTTGTGACTATGATGGGGCTTCCTCCCAGGAACCAGTTCTGAGGTATGGTATTAGGAGTCTCCTACCACTCACACATCCCCCTTAGGTTCTCTTAAGAAAAGTGTCAATTGCAAACTGGCCTAATTAATACTGAACAAACACAACAAGCACTAAGGCCATTGCTGCACAAACTGTACCTCTCAAACTACAAATGCTTATCCCCTTTGATCCAGCAATCTCACTTCTAGGAATGCAGCCCATAGATATATTTGTGCACAAGTGAAACGATGAGAGTTGTGTCATATCGTTTGTCACAGCAAGAGATTGAGAGCAAATGACATATCCCACCTGAGGGAACTGCTTAAATAAAATACCCTGTAAGCATATACTGGAATATTATTTAGCTATAAAAAAATAAGAAAGCATTTTTATATATTTAAATGGAATGCTCTCCTGAGTCCATTTTTAAGTTTAAGTAAGCAAGGTGCATAACTGCATGCAGGGACTGCTTTATTATGTGAAATAAAATAAAAGGAAAAAAAGTAGAAACATAGTTGTAATTGCTTTATAATAATAAAGACACTTTGGAAGAATACACAAGAAAATAAGGCCAGGTGCAGTGGCTCACACCTGTAATCCCCGCACTTTGGGAGGCCAATACAGGAAGATTGCTTGAGCCCAGGAGTTCCAGATCAGCCAAGGCAACATCAAGACCTCATCTCTCTACACACACACACACACACACACACACACACACACACACACACACACACACACACGGCAACATCAAGACCTCATCTCTCTCTACACACACACACACACACACACACACACACACCCCGGGCTTTGTGGTGCACACCTGTAGTTCCAGCTTGTCAGGAAGCTGAGGCAGAAGGATTGCTTGAGCCCAAGAATTTGAGGTTGGGGGAAGCTGTGATTATGCCACTGCACTCCAGGGTGACAGTGAGACTCCAATTTAAAAAAGAAAAGAAAAAGATTAGAGCAAATTATATGAGAAAAAGAAATAAAAAATGTTTACTTGTAGGGTAGTGAGAATGATGTGAAACAAGGTAGTTGAGTGCTTTCACTCTTTCAAGGTTTTCATCTTTTAATCATATGAATGCATTACCTATTCACAAAGTAAAAAACTAAATTCAAATAAAAACAAAGCATTTCAGTCCAATCAACACTTTTTTGTAACATAACTGCGTGCTTTATTGAGATACACAGTAAAGCAGTAATATAATACAATAGTAAGGCATATATTTGGTGAAGTCTGATATGTTGTGAAAATGCAGTAAAACTGAAGTTTAAAAAAATAATTAGTAAATGTTACAGTGTTGGTGTTAAAACACAATATATTATGATACTCAAGTAAGAACCCAGTACCTGAAAACAATGACAAAACATGCCATGTGATGTTTATGCTTCAGTTACATTGATTATGATTTACAATTTAATACTTGGTGGTTATAAAGAACACGAAGTAATGTCCAAATTATGCTTAAAACGCAGCAATAAAGCTCTCAATTTTTATTCAAATATTATGACAGACTCACTCCAGAACTAATGTCTAAAAGATAAAACAAAACAGAAGAATTAAAACAAAGTTATGCACTCTATTTACCTCTGATTTTTAGAATAAAACTTAAACTTCTTAGTAGAACATAAAGTAACCCCTTGTTTTAAATCATGGTTAAAAACAAAATCCTTGGGTAAAGAGAAGGCCCAGCGACATGTAAAGAAAAACAAACAAAAAAAAATATGCAAGACTAAAATCTTTATGTAATTTGTTACCTTAGAGCTTTGGGTTTTCTTTTGGAAATTATAAAGGGAAAAGGAGATAGAGAAAAATGTTCACGCAATAGACAAGTAATGAAGCTGTGAGATCAGGTGTGCACAATTATCAGGAACACCCCAAAACCAAAGTGAGGTAGAAATAGCATGAGAAGCTGTGTTTGATGTTAATTATCATTAATAAAACAATGGACAAAACCCACTCTCCAAAAGTTAATTACACTTGATGTCAGAGGTAACAGATTTGCAAAATAATAGGTCATATGGTGATTTCTATTGAATGAATGATTACAAAAATCGAAGAGTAATACAATGACATAAAAGAGTAAAGCTTTTTCCTACTAGTCCTTAGCATTTCCTCTTGTTTTTTTCCCCTTTTTGAACAATTTGTGTTTGTTTATGTATCTAACCAGCCTAATCCACCAAAAAGGGTTTGCAGTAGCTTTTACTTTTGGAATATTCAAGTCAATCTGCCTTCCTACTTACAAATCTGTGTGGAATCAACTTGCAGAGTAATGTACAAGAGGGAAACGTGGTTCCTGGGCTTTTGGGTTGATATTTATCTGTGTCACAATGTGATAGGGCTACTGTCTTACACACTTTCCTGTGGGTTATTTTATTTATGTATGTATTTATTTATTTGAGTCAGAGTCTCACTCTGTTGCCCAGGCTGGAGTGTAGTGTTATGCTCATGGCTATCACAGCCTCAACCTGCTGGGCTCAGGCGATCCTTCTGCCTCAGCCTTCCAAGTAGCTGGAACTACAGGCACATACTACCATGCCTGGCTAATCTTTTAATTGATTGTAGAGACGAGGTCTCACCAAGTTGCCCAGGCTGGTCTTGAACCCTTGAGCTCAGGCAATCCTCTTGCCTCTGCCTCCCAAAGTGCTGGGATTCCAGGTTTGAGCCACAGCGCCCGGCTCCTGTGGGTTATTTTAAATTAAGTCTTGTGGCATTTAAAAACTCATCACAATGGAAAAAAATCTAAAAAACACCAACAGAAACAAAACTTCCCTTTGACTATGAGAAGAGGGCAGAATAATTTAGTTGTGATTACAGAGATCTCTATGTGTGGTTATGAACATTCATCTAATCCTTTATTTAAAGAGTGATCTGCTCCCTCACAGGGATCAGCTGGGAATCCATAGCCCTCCAGCCGTACCAATGTTCTCCTACTGTTTGGGAGTTAAAAAATACCTTCTGGTGCCAATTTCCACTGAAGTATCATTAAATCTAAAATCGTGGCATTGCCAGTAGCATGAAGCTGAATATATCAACCAACGGATTACTCTGATATAATAAGTCTTGTGTATTCATTCACATGTTCCCTTTAAAAAATTCAATACGCTAGTTGTCAGTGAAAGTTTGAAATGAGAAACATCTGGAGCCGTAGACAATATTTCAGTGTGGTAGTTTCCTCCTGGCTTCAGGCTCCAGAGAAAATTCATTCTAGACCACGCAGGTAAGCCTGGATGACCAGAAGCAATTTCTTTCCATTATAAAGTGACAAGAACATTTGAAGAAAAATGTAAAAGGTCTATAGAAATTCATATCTACTTATCTATATACCTACAGTACTTATATACTTATAGATATATAAAGTGAAAACTCACAGCCAGCCCCACTCAGTCAATAATTCCCAAAAAGAGCAATGTGAAGTAATCATTTGGTGATGTTAGAGGAAGTCCTATCTTTAATATGTAAGAAAAGAAAAAAAAAAGTCATGAATTCCATATGGATATCACACTCAAAGGATGCAAAACAATGCGCTGCCTCAAAATTTGTGTGTGTGTGTGTGTGTGTGTGTGTGTGTGTGTGTGTGTGTGTGTGTTTGTTTTTAGGGGTTTTTATAAACAACTTTTTTTTTTTATAAAGCACACTTTAGTTTACAATCTTTCTTTATAACTGTTATAAATTTTTAAACAACCCAAAATGCGTTCCATATAAAGAAATGGCAAGTTATTTAGCTATCAAGATTTTACATGTAGTTTTCTTATAACTTTTTTTGTACAATTGCATAGACGTGTAAAACCTGCCATTGTTAACAAAACAATAACAGACTTAGAAACTACTGAAATCTACAGTATAGTACCACTACCCTTCACAAAAATATAGATTTTATTTCTTGTAAACTCTTACTGTCTAATCCTCTTTGTTGTATGAATATTATAAAAACCATGCGGGATTCAGGAGTTGTAAAACATTTATTCTGTTCCTTCTTCATCTGTCATGACTGATACTAAGGACTCCATCGCTCTGCCCAAATCATCTGCCATGTGGAAAAGGCTTCCTACATTGTGTCCTGGAAAACAAAAGGAAAGACATCCTTTACAAAGGGTGCAGCTATCATCACCCTGATTCTTTGCCATTTGAAAACTCATTTGCCATTTCTGGGTAAAGACAACACAGAAGCTGCATTGAGGTTGTATGCAATGGAGTTTGATTTTCACCAGTTTCCAGGAAGAAGCAAAGCCTTGTTAATGAAGCCACTACACATTGTTAGTATCAGCTTAAGGTCGATCAGGCTACTGGTGTCATTTAAATGAAAAAATATCAGACTCTGCACTCTTCTTCTCAATGTAAATATCAATCAATCAAAAGGACTCTATAAAGAAACACAAGATTTCTATTATAACACGAATATTTCATGATGGAATACACCTTTTCCATCTTGTTGTGAGTGATTACTATCTACTTGCATGAACATTTTTTACTATCAAACCACAACTGTAACTGCCCCTCCCCCCACCCCTTCCCCCCTCACAATTACCACCACTTCCTCCACTCCATCACCATTACATGACATTTTCATTTCAATGCTGTTTCAAGCTGTTGACTCACTTCTGAGGCTATTGTGGTGACTATTTTCTCTCTGCTTTTGCTTGGCTTAAAAAATAAACTCTTGAATTGACCCTTTTGTACACTATTAACATTAGAATTAGGAAGCTTCCAAATAAAAATAACTTTTCATTCCAAATTACTTTAGAGCCTAATTATAATACGACCCACAGGTATTGCATGGATTTAGGTATCCTGTGAATCCATCTTTGATCTCCTCCTAAATGAGGGGTTAACTATCAAAATTGCCTTTTAATAATAATGTGGCATGACCTAGCATTAATCCCCCAGCATGGAGCCCAAGAGCAGCACAATGCCCTGGGTACTTGGTAGTAAAATTCAGATCTAAAGTAAGATAATCGGAGGTGTACTTTAGGGCTTGCCTTTTCAACTCTATCTCATATTTTTATATGGCTAATTTTAATTTCTGGACATTGGTGAATCCTTCCACTATTCCAGTACTGCCTTTGGAACCGAAATGCTTTACTAGGCTACCTTGCCATGTAATCACCTTTACAGTTTTCCATAATTGTTAAAATCCCAATACAAATTAAAGACAGACTAGGGCAGATATTCTGTTCTAATATTTATTTCAAGAGACATATCTTTTATTTATTTATTTTTTTTGAGTCGCAGTCTCACTCTGTCACCCAGGCTGGAGTGTAGTGGCACGCTCACAGTCACCACAGCCTCGACCTGCTGGGCTCAGGCTATCCTTCCACCTCAGCCTTCCAAGTAGCTGGAACTCCAGGTGCACACCACCACGCCTGGCTAATTTTTTTTTTTTTTTTTTTTTGTAGAGTTGAGGTCTCACCAAGTTGCCCAGGCTGGTCTCGAACCCCTGGACTCAGGCATTTCACTTGCTTCAGTCTCCCAAAGTGCTACGATTACAGGCTTGAGCCACCATGCCCGACCTTCTTTTATTTTTTTAATATGAGAGGATCTGAAGAGAATTCATGGGCAGGCACTGAAGCAGTGACGGCACCAGATCAATTTAAGACTTATTAAAAGTTTAATGCCATTCAGGCACTTATATTAAGGTGACCAAGTTGGTAAATCTTCTTGAGTTTTATTAGCGCAAAGAGGTTTCATCGAGAACTAATTGCATTTACAAAAATTCCTTTGGATTTTGGTTGAGACTGCAAATATAAAAACTTTTAGCAAAGCATATGTACATTCATAAAGTGGGCCAATAGTTTGGCAGCCCTCAGCAAAAAACTAAAATCGTTTTTGTCTTTTCTGTGCCATAAAAAACCACAGGAAGACACTGTGGGACCTCTACTGCTCCTCTGAGCTCAGAGTACAAATACATAACTGATGCTACCAAGGTGGAGGGCTTCCCTTGTATCTATTTTTGACTGCCCAGCAACCCTGGGAAATCTGCACAATTATTCATGCATAATCGAAAATAGATGGACTAACTGCAAAATTTTAATTACTAGCAATCTTAACAGCTATTAATAAAACCAATAAAAAAAGTCCAAGACCCTTACAACCTGATACTTAAGTGTAATTCCAACTATTTCTCATGACCTACATTTGACTATAGCATAGTCTACTTGGTAGCTAGAAAACGTATTACAAAACTTAACCAAAAAAGGGGGACAATTTATTTTTTCCTGTCAACTTATTGATAATCAAAAAATGTGTTTTTAGGTTGCGTGCCAGGGGATGTGGACTGCCGTTCAAAATAAAATAAAACAAGTATATGTGTTTATAGATTACATAGCCAAGTGATGCTTCTATTTTTTGAAATGGTGTCCAGTTAGTACCCGGAAGGAATATTCTTGAGTATCTCCAGAGGCATAAGTTCTGGGGGTATCTGCTATTTAAAAATTTGCCAGGGAAAACAGAGGTTCATTATTCTTAATATACCACACACTCCCGCAAAATGTTGGGTGGCCCTTAACTTATTTAAACGGTTACATTTTCACAGATGACCCTGTAGTCATCCTGATGCTATAAAAATGAAGAACTCATTTACAAATACCTGTTTCGCCAGAATAATGATTCCAATTTTTTTTTCATGGAGCTTTTCATTTGATCCAGAGAAAAAGAAAAACACAAAATTCTCTCTTTGACAAAATACTGCCCCAAAGAATCATACCTTAATCCACTGGAGGGGTGAAACTGCACTGTGGCGTGAATATAGAAAAGGGATCTCTTAGTTCTAAAATCCGTGTGTGTAAGGGAGAGCATTAGTAAGGTCATTCATTTTCCTGACAGATTTTTCTAAAGTCAAAATTACAATCTCATACTATAAGTGCAGGAAGTACTAAAAAGCAGCCAGGTTTCAGGAGTTTGCAATCAGCTTCAGGCACAAGGTGACCCAAAACTATATCTATAGAAAGCATTAATTTAATCCATTCTTAAGCAAGGCTTATTGAACACAAAGGTGCTGTGCATTGAACATTAGGGCAGTTGTATGTTTTTCCAAGTTGGTGCTAACTGCAACACATTTAGTCTCACACACCACCACTGCCTGAGGGAGTTGTTTTCCACAGTGATTGGAATTGAGACTTTCTGGCCAAGATCCAAGACCTCAATAGCAATCTGGCACTCTATTTTTTAAAAAATACAATTTCCACATAAATGGTGAGCATTCAGTTGGCCAAAGCAAAGCCAGAATACGGCAGAGAAAATTGCATATCTTCTTCTCTATAATTTAATCTCTGAAAAGAATCTGGTCTACTGTACATTTGGGGTATTTTTATAGCATTAAAAAAGTCATTATTGTTTTGATTCTCTGGCTTTTGGAACCTTATCTAACTATAATGCACCTCAGGTAGTAAAGTTTTCAAACGCCTGTATGCCTTCAATTATATATCCTGGCCTTTTCTAAAATTTGTTCATGAGTGAAACATGTTCAGGGTAGTCACAAATATGGTTCAATTAACTTACAAAATGTTCAAATAAATTTCAAGGGGACACTTACCATAGGAATGAACCCAAGAAATCTCACATACGAAGTACATAAGCCATGTAAACCATCAGGAGCATTCAATGCTTCACCAATTCGGGTTTCCTCAATTTCTCCTCCTAGCCTACCACTCCCACCCTGGGATCTCTCTGCCCAAAAAGCCTTGGAAGGGAGCATTGGCATAGATACACTGAAGGATCATGACATTAATCAGACTTGTGTGGCATAGTGCTGACAAAATTTTCAGTATGACTCCTTATGTTTAAATGAATCAGTGGCCACTCAGTTTATCCCGTTGCTAAGGTCCCAGAATCTTCTCCACCCATCCAACCTGTCTCCCAGAATATTGCCATTCCATGGGAGAGCTTTCTTTCTTCCTGCCTTCACATTAAACTCTTGGTAAAGACAAGCTTGGTTTGCTTGGGCTGTCACTCAATACTTTGTCATCTAATAGTCAATTAGGTAATTCCATGTTCAGACAGAATTCCTGTTAGAACAGGAGGAAGAAGCAACTTTCACTGTAAAACCTCAAACCATGTTCATTGATAATGCTGTATGCTACCCCTTTCAACCCATAAATAGGCATTTAAAAAACCCTCAAGACTCCAACATCTTCAATTTTTTACCCTCATTGGTTAAAAATTATTGTTCTATGTGGCTTCAAATGCCAAATAAAAAACAGTTATCTTCTGAAGGGCAAGTTGAGATGACTTTCAAATGAGAGTGAAGAGTGTGGCTCTGGAGCCAGAGTGCCTGGATCCAAATCCTGGCTCTGTCCCCTGGAACACACTGCTTATCCTCCCATTGACTCAGTTTCCTTATCTGTAAAATGGAGTTAATAAGAGTACCTACCTCGTAGGTTTGTCATGAAGATTACATGATGGCAAGTGCTGAGAATAATACTTGGCACAAAATAAGTGCTCAAAAAATGTTAGCTCAAATGGGAAAGAAAGAATGTAGGAACCAAGAAAAAAAGAAACAAAGGCAAAATGAAGTCATCCCAGAAGAATAAAAAACCAAGGGCGCTGGCAGAAAATGCTAAGGTCCTGGAAGTGGAAGAAAGCTTTATGATTCATCATTTATGTTCAAGGCTATATTTATTTTGAAGATTTTGTTTATGTTACAAATGGCAACAGATGATGAACTGCAGGATACCAACCCAGGGACTACAAAGGATTGCCATTTTAAAGAGATTCCTGCTCTCCCAATCCCAGTCCTGTCGTCATGGTAATGACAACAGCAATGAACATTTGAGGACTATTCCTCATGAGCTGCAAGTGGAGAGGTGACTACCATCCTTACATGATGACACAATGTGTAATACACACATGCGCGTGCACGCACACAATTCTTACACAAACGCCAAACATAAAAAGCAGGATGAGACAGACAGAAGCCATGGCCGTGAGCCTGAATCTCACTAACCTCTCTCATTGGCTTTCCAGGGGTATTTCTTCCTTTAATAATAGAGAGAGGAAGAGGCAGAGATATCAGAAAGGAAAAAAATGCATAAATATACAGTTTCATACCAATTTGCTTCTTTTACCAACCAAATGTTGAGATGGCAATTCATTTATTCCCTTCTGGAAAAAAATAACAGAAACAAAAAACCCAAAAGACACATCTAGTCAAATAACCTTTACATACACTTAAAATCAGTGTAAACAGATAACATGATCCAGGAGACATCATTTATAGAATCCATAGAGTTCACGCATTAAACTGGATGAAAACTGGCACAGAATAGAAATCTGACAAATTGAGCATTGTTTTCAAGGACAACTCAAGCTTAATGTTAAAAACAAAATCTCAGAATCTCTTCACTCTTGACTTGACACATTGAAACATAAACAGTAGTTCACTTTGTGTGCTCAAAGTCTACACCTCAAATGAAAGGCAGAACCCCACACAGAGGCTGGACTCCATCCTCTTAGGAGAATTTATTCTATCTGGTAGAAGCTGAGAATGTCCATGATGGAATTGAAGGCATTAGAGAAAACAGAAAGAAAAGATGAGGGGAAGCGTAAGTCCCACTAATGGGCAAGCCACAGAGCCAGATCCAAGAATGAGCTTTTGACTTCCTCCTCATAATTCAACAAGTATCAGAAGCTTTGAGAGTCAATGGCTAAAGCCTAACTGGCCTTCCTTCATAGAATCAAACACCTGTATGCATTTATTTTGGAAAATAGAGTCTGATAAGAAAGTGTCCTATGTAATATTTGTAATTGGACAGAAAACAGGGACCCCCGACCATACCTAGTGTGTCTTGGGCATGCAATTTCCTTTTATCTTGAGGGTCTTCAAACGGAAATATTGGTTTTCAAACTGGTTGACTATAGCAATGGGGCACTTCCTAGAACAAACTTATATGGAATTCCAGTATTTTGAGCAGATCAAAACAGAGCTGTAAGAGATCCTATACAGTATCTTCCTTCCCCTGACCCACCATGTCCAGTGGCTCCAAGAAGACTAAAACTCCCTGAAACAATTCGAGAAGCTCTAGTCTGGAATGAAGAACTGTGGAGCTACAATTCCAACAGAAACTTTTCTCTACTTAAGTTTAGGGTTCAAAGCTTCTAGTCTTAAAGGATTTCTAAGTATAACTTTTCCTTCTCCTTCTCTTCCTTCCCTCCCTTTTTCCTTCTGAATGTTCCTAAGCAAGTCAGAGATTTCTTAGGAATATAAAAACTGTACCTTGACCACATAAGGGTCCTCTAGTCAGGGAAAAAAGAGAGGAATATCATTTTGTCCTTGATGGCTCAAATTCCAGCATGAATTACTCACCCTTTCCTTTTGATTCCTTTAGAAAAGCTTTTTTTGAATCTTTATATTTCATAGTTAATACTGTCTAGTAGCAGAATTAATTCTCTTATAAAACCATGAGCTCCTTGAGGGCTAGGCCCACATGATGCTTACCTACCTCTGTATCCCCAATTTGTATGGTTCCTAGACATTGTTTGTATTTGATAAATGCTGGCTGAACTGAAATGGTAAGGTAGTAACTGCATCATGTCCAAGGGTCCTTCTGTGTTATAAGCAACTTGGCCTTGACTGCTACCCTTTAACTTGTATGCTAAAGACTGGTAACTTGTTCTGGCTTGTTCTGGCTTGGTCTCTTTTATTGATTGATTTAGTCAGGGTCTCACTCTGGCTGGAGTGCAGTGGTATGATCATAGCTCACTGCAGCCTCAGATTCCTGGGCTCCAGTGATGCTACCTAGGCTGGTCTTGAACTCCTGTGCTCAAGTGATTCTCTTGCCTTGACCTTCCAAAATGCTGGGATTACAGTGGTCTATTTTTAAAACCTCAGAACTTTATGAAAAACTATATGGTTGGAAAGTTATGTAATTTAGAGTGTAATTATGATTATGTATATCAGAGTATAATTATGATTCCTAGAATGATAGAGGTTATATCTTTTTTTCTCTTTTAAAGATGTGGGGTACAATTCAGGGTTAGGTATACAAATGTTCATTGTGCAGGTACCCTTGCTGATGAGATGTGCACCTCCCTCCCCTGGCAGTTCCCCACTACTGCCAATCCCACCCATCCACAACAGATTCCACTACTGCCAATCCCTTTCTTATAGTACTATGATAGTTGTTCAAGGTCCTCTTATGAGTGAGAACATGTGATATTCGGTTCTTCATTTCTATGATAGATCACTCAGTGTTATAGGTTCTAAGTCCATCCAAGTTGCTGCAAAGTTCATAATTTTGTCCTTTTTTTTTTGAGTTGGCGTCTCACTCTGTCGCCCAGACTGGAGTGCAGTGGCCACTCCTGGCCACTGCAGCCTCGACCTGCTGGACTCCAGCGATCCTTCCACCTCAGCCTTCCAAGTAGCTGGAATTACAGGTGCATGCTACCGTGCTTGGCTAATTTTTTGATTTATTATAGAGATGAGGTCTCTCTAAGTTGCCCAGGCGGGTCTCAAACCTGTGGGCTCAGGCAGTCCACTCACCTCGGCCTCACAAAGCATGGAATTACAGACTGAGCCACCGAGCCCGGCCAATTTTGTCTTTCTTTATGGCTGTGTAATCATGGAGGTTATATCTCTTTATTAATTACACACTAAGCCATAATCTGGGCTCAGCATCAACTGGTCACTGACTATGCAGCAAATGACTTGTGTTTTGTTTTAGGTACATCTTCAGAAAACATATTTTATGTTAAATGGACCTCCCAGAACCATTTGAATTCTAATTTCCTCCTAAACCCTCTCTCATCACTTGGGTCCAAATTTGCTCATTAACCCAGTACCAAAGTAAGTTCCTTTTTCACTTTGAAAGGCTAAATACAAATAACGTTTTCTACTGTGTTACAATGGTTCTACACTGACAAAACCGCAGACTACTTAGTTACATTTTTTAAAGTTCTTGATCAACAAATAAATAAAGTGCCAGATAAAGGTTTTATTTTATAAATGTATTTCTTAGAAATTAGTTTTCTTAGACCTTCAGTTAGGATGTCCATCTGGCAATGTGGTGTGCTGTCAGGAAATGAATCAAGAAAAAAAAGGAAGTGTGCTAGGGGAGACCTGAGTCTAAATAAAGGGTTTGGTCAGGTTCAGAGAAGTCTAGTTTCCTCAGGCAGTATGAACTTGACGTTATTGATTGTAATTCATTATTTCAGAGCCAGAACTGTAGGACATTACTGTTTCTGGATAACTTTATCTCCTTTTTTTTCCTCCTTTGGAATATATATATATATATTTTTTGAGTTGGAGTTTCACTCTGTCTCCCAGGCTGGAGTGCAGTGGCACGCTCACGGCCACCGCAGCCTCGGCCTATTGGGCTCAGGTAATCCTTCTGCCTTAGCCTTCCTAGTAGCTGGAACTACAGGCGTGCACCACCACACCTGGCTAATTTTTTGACTTATTGTAGAGATGAGGTCTCGCCAAGTTGCCCAGGCTGGTTTCGAAGCCCTGGGCTCAGGCAATCCTCTCACCTTGGTCTCCCAAAGTGCTGGGATTACAGTCTTGAGTCGCCACGCTCAGCCACCTTTAACTTCTTTAATCTTAGTTCACTGAGTAAGACAGTTAAGGAAGAATGAGTCCCTTTTTAGGATTTCTGTTTCATTACAAGCCAAAGAAGATTTAAGTGACCATACTTTTTTTTTTTTTTTTTTAAGATTAGGAAATGTAGTTTATTTAAAAAGTAATTTAGACAGCGAGGAAAACAGGAGCTTCACCTCCCCAAGGTAGGGAGGAGAGGCCAAAGCCAGGAAACATGGCCTGGCAATAGCTCAAAGAGCACATGGCTACACCATAGCTTAGCAAAACAATGGTCACAATGGCCTGAGTGGCCATACTTTAAATATTGAAACATGCAGGCTCTTTGGTGAACCTGGATATATATGTATCAATCAATTCAAAGGCACAGTTCTGTTGAACTGAAAGTTGATCAGCACTGAGCCCTGTGACTGTATACATGTAATGAGTCAGAATAGACAACAAAATAAGAGTGTAAAGCAGGGATGGCAAATTTTCCCTGTAAAAGGCCAGACAGTAAATATTTTAGGCTTTGTAAGCCACACAGTCTCTGTAGCAACTATTCAATTCTGCTGCAACGACTTTGCCCTGGTAGTGAAAAAGAAACCATAGACAACACATAAATGAATGTGCGTGGTGGTGTTCTAATATAACTTTATTTATAAAAGCAGGTAGTTGGCCAGATGTGGGCTATGAGCTGTATGGAGTTTACTGGTCCATGGTGTAAAGAGATAACTGTTTGTGGAAGCAGATAGGAAACGGAATAGTGCCAGAAAGGGGGCACATGATACCTCCATCTGCTTTTGTTCTTTATGTTGCTCTTCCATAAAATAACCACAGAACAAGATTTGAATTTTAAAAGATGGCAGCTTTTGCAAAGCTGTTGGGTTGGTAATTTAGGGGCATGTGACAGAATGTATGTGGGCTTATTTGGGAGGGGATGGCATGAAAGAAAGAGGATGGCATAGGCTGGTGGGGATAAAAATAAGGTGGCATAGGTCAGCAGGCAAGAGATGGTGCAGGCAGCAAAAATATTCACATAGCACTGCTAACTGCTTCTGGATTGTCTTACTGCACTAAGAGCTTATCTTGGTTCCTATTATTCATTGATCTATATAAAGTGGTACCACATTTTAGAGAGCTCAATACCATACCACTAACTAGAAAAACATTTCTTTTGTCAATGCACATATATTTAAAAATGCCTTTGTTAGGCTGCTAAATGATCAGAGACTTATGGATAAATGGCTTAAAGGATTTATTTTTAAATGATATTTACTGTTGGTTCTAACCATGTAGTGTTCCTATAGAAGGGCAGAGATTTAGAAAGTGTCTTATAATAGATAATGACTTTTATTACACTAGAATTCCATATATATGGAATTCTCCATATATTTATAGGCAGAGGAAAAGACTGCAGATAGATAAACAGATTAGATAGAAATGGGCTAATATTCAGTGCTTAAATATATACTGAGCCACTCAAATCCCTCAAGTGTTTGTGAACAATTAACTATATCTAGAGATTAATCAAGAAAGATATAATCACGAAGCTAAATGTGCACACATTCACACCTTTAACATGCTGCAGTTATACTGCCTATTATATAGGATGGTCTTGGCCATTGGTTCATCACTAAATGGAGAATCATGCAACTATTTTATTAATTTCAATAACAGTTTAGCAAGTCCATTGAGATAAGATCAGAAGCCTAACTTAAGTTGCTGCATGGCCATGAACAAGACACTTAAGTTTTCTGGGCTTCTAATTATTGTAATAACAAAAGATAAAGATTAGCTGACACCTTAAGCTCCAACTCTATGGCTAGGGGACAACAAAAAGTCACAAATTTGAGGTAACAATAACTCATCTATCTATATACTTTATAAAAAACAATTTTTTAAGAAAGGGTTTTCCTCTGTGGGCAATTATCTAGCAGGGTTAAGTAAACCATGAGGTGGTATTTAATAGCACATTTCCACTAAATGTCAGACCGCTGGCTCTGACATCTGTTTTAAGTTAGTCAAACAGCTGTCCAAAACAGCTGTAGTAACCATGAACTTCGCTTTGCATAATACAACAATGGGAACATGGAATGGCAACTGTTAGAATAAAACTATAAAGTCCTCTAAGACATTAACAAGGTCTTGGCATAAACTTCCATTATAAATATTTCAAAATTTCGTGTTTTTGGAAACACATTCACCTGGGCAAGGAAAATTGAGATTACTTAGAGTAGTATTTTTCAGCTACTGGTTCATAAATCAGTTTAGTAGGTTGTAACCAACATTTTATTTTTAAATACATAAAACAGAGAAACAACACATGTTAAATGTAGTATGGAAGGTATTGATTCATGAAACTTTAATTTCGTTGTATGCCTATGTGACTGTACACATACATACGTGATATTTATATATATGTGTGTGTACATAAACACATATATGATTTATTTTGTATCTTTAGTTGGTGATGTAAAATGTTTCTCTTTTATGGACAATGGTCAAAATAGTCAAAAGTCACTGTTCTGGATGTCAAAAAATGCTAAGATGACCTTTTGAGGCTCTTCCATTTGGGAAAGCCTGTAATCCTGAGATGTTAAGATTCTCAAGAACTGCTTAATATCAACCTAACACATCTACCAAGTGGTAAGATGTTCCCACCAAACTCGACTATAGACATGTGCGTGCACACAAACGTATAATGGCATTCTTAAAAAAATGCTTTTAGTTGGAAATAAAGCATCCAAAAACATTTTATAGAGTGCATAGATAATTCGTCGACTTTCATAATGATGAAACTTTTTATTCATTTGAATTTGGGGAGAAAAAGGCCTGTAACAAGTCCTAATTTAGTGGAAAGCAGCAAAACAAGAGAAAACACCAAAGTCACAGCTTTTCTGAAAGCCCAGCCAGATCTTCCAACACCTTAGCTACTCTCTTGTTATAATTCGTGTTTGTTATTTGATGGTTTTGTTTTTCAAGCATATGAATGAATTTTCTCAGGCCACCATAATACAAGTCAGTAAGCAGAAACTTAGTTAATGGAACTGGTATCAGATAGGGCCTCCTTATCTCATATATGAGAACTTAAATCCACACTTAGGGGATGGTATTCTTCCATAAGCACTAATTTAGTAAACACCATCCAGGTGGCCTGAACAGAGTCTCCCAAGTTGCCATACAAGTAAGTAAATCAGCATCGGAGATGTTAACTGCCAAATACCCTATCAGAGGAGGTATGTGTCTAGTCTTCCAGGAAGCTCATGTGGTGTCTAGCTTTCAGGATTCTTACATAGCAGGGCGATGCAGGAAGATGGTGCAAAGGATTTCACCTTAAAGCTAATTAGGGTAGATCAGAGATGCAGGTTCACAAAGGAGTCTAGGAAGGCAAGTCTGCCTATGGGGAAGCAAAGCCATGAGCCTTGCTGTAGCCTCTTCTCTGCTATTGTCTTGTTGTTTAGATGTGAAAGAAATGCCCAGGGTGCCAACAGAGCAGCCACTAACTTCCCATAAATCAGGTAAACAAGCCACCAGCCCTAGGGGCCAGGGTCATAAAGCAATCACATTATTGTATCATGATTTGAATTTCTTCAGAGTTCTGCATCCCCACTTGACCGCAAGTACCTTGAAGACAAGGAACCTGGCATTTATCCTTTGCATCCCTAATGCCTCCGTTGGTACATAGTAAGTGCTAGTAAAAGTAGACGTGACAAAGTAATGAAGATAAAGGCGAAAGCATTTGATTCTATCAAGCCTTATGGTCTTCTCATTATGAATCATGGCATCTAGAAAGAGGAGATATCTAAGATAGGATGGGGATGCGGGTGGTGGGTGGGGAGTGTGGAGGTGGATGGGAGATAAGATCTCTATCTGTTAAAATCAACACATCAGAGGCGCTCAGCAGTGAAAAGATGGCTGGTGCAGACATTTAAAATTAGCTTCCCCTGACAGTTCCTTAGCAACACTCTACCAGAACATTATTGCTTTTAATGTGCATTGCACAACGCTCACTTGCACATCAAATAGCTAGGAAATGGTCATTGTTAACTGACACTGAACAAAAAGATAGGAAAAACACACTACTCAAAACACCCTCCTCATTGCACTTACAGAGAGGAACAAATAGCCCAGATTTCCGGCTGCCCTTCCCTCCCAGGCTGCCCATTAGGGGTGCCAATCACTGGCCACAAAGCATTGTGTTTTCTCCCTTTTGTTTCTCTAGGCTTTCCTTCTATTTGGTCACAGGTGACTGTTGCCATTCTTTTTATTTGTTGAAGGGAGGTGGGACAGTGACTTTGTTTTATGGGAGGGCAATAAACCAAAATAAATGCCCCTAGAAACTAACAGCAGCGCAAAACATCTCCTTGGATGAAGCAAGACATCTGAAGTTCATGCTAGTGGGACTATTCTGTGGGGTAAAATCCTGCTTTTGTATGAGGGACAAAATATACAAGGTACAAGCGATGGGGCGATAAAAGAATAATATTAATGTCTTTCTTTGCTAAGCCTGTATGCCATCTGTGGAAGTAAGAAGATAATAATAAACTAGTCTCTGAAGATTTAATTGTCCCTATATTTAAGTGACAGAGTAAGACACAATTTTTAAATATAAAGGACATCAGTTTGCAAGTCAGAATCTCTATCACCACTGCTCCCTACTACAGCATATAGTAGCCTTATGTCCCTGGCTAAGGCACCACCAGGGCATTAATTTCCCACCTGTAAAAGAGGTAATTGCTCTTATATAATAATCACTCTTCAGTAAAAGGCACCTCATAATGAACTCTTCAGACTAACATGAGAAGCAGGTAAAATAACTGATAAATATAAGGTTGTATTTTTATTTCGAGAAACATCTTGATTTCACAGGTATTTGAATTCAAAATACTCCAAACTAGAAATTCACACTTGAAAATGAAATCTTAACAGCATGGACTCAAATTGGCATTCTGATAGCATGTATCGACTTCCATATGGAAAATAAATACATCAGTTGGGTATGAAAGCGAGTGGCCTAATCCCAGTGAGTCTGAGTCCCTGCTAGGTATTGGAGCTTACCTCTTGAACTAGGGAAGGAGTTGTTGAGTTGCTCCATCACCTCCTCTAACCCTGTGCTTGTGTCCTGGGGAGGACTAAGAAGATCTTCCTCGCCTTAATAAAAGCAAAAAAAAAAAAAAAAAAAAAAGCAAATTATACTTATGCAAAATATAGCGATATTAGAGCAGAGGGCCATAATTACATTTTTAAACCTTTAGAAATTCATTTCACTTGCTCATAAATAAAATAAATAACAAAAAACACTCCCAAGCTTAATAATTAGAAAATAATTCATTAAAGGGAAGAATAATTCTACAAAGTAATTTATCTATGTCATTATCCTTGGTGAAGAAAACCATGTATCTATTTAGAGGTTAATATAAAGTTGACCTAGAAGATAGCACTTGAAATGTTCTCAAAACATAAAATAATAAATACTTGAGATGAAAGATACCCTATATACCCTAATTTGATTATTACACATTCTTTCTTTCTTTCTTTTTAAAAATAGAATAGAGACAGAGTCTCGCTGTGTCACCCAGGCTGGTCTTGAACTCCTGGGCTCAAGTGATCCTCCTGCTTTGGCTTCCCAAAGTGCTGGAATTAAAGGAGTGAGCCATCACACCCGATCAATCATTACACATCCTATGCATGTAACAGAAGATCACATCACATATACTCTATAAATATGTACAAATATTATATATCAACAAAATAAATAAAAATTTAAAGATAAGTTGACACACCCTCTTTTCTTATGCCCCATTAACAAATGTGAAATTTTTTTCTCTGCATTAATTATTATTACACACTTGTAGTTTGTCTCTTCAACACACAAAAGAAATGAGAATTTGTCGTTTTGCAATCACCTCATAAAGGTAAGAGAGAGTGGAGACACTGAGGTCTTTTTTTTCACTCTTTCCTTTGATATTTAACCAAAAATACAAATAAAACTCAAGTACCTTTAAATTCCAGTGTGATAGAAATAAAAGTGGTATGTGACCTATCTAAGTAATGAAAAATTAATATTCTAAGGACTGTAGATATGGGATATACTGGGAAGTTATATGCCTTTCCTCTTTGTTACCTGGGGCTACTTTATCATAATGATGTTTGAGGTTTTATGGAGAATTTTTTAATGTTTGAGAATTTGTTTATGTGAGGAGAGAATGGTGATTTGGAATGAAAAGTTTAGGGATGATGATCTTAACCAGGAATAGAAGTATCCTTGTAGGCTGGGCGCAGTGGCTCAGCCAGTAATCACAGCAATTTGGGAGGCTGAGGTGAGAGGATTACCTGAGCCCGGGGGGTTTGAGACCAGCCTGGGCAACTTGGTGAGACCTCATCTCTACAATAAATAACAACAACTAGCTGGGCATGATGGTGTGTATCTATAGTTCCAGCTACTTGAAAGGCTGAGGCAGAAGGATTGCCTAAACCCAGCATGTCAAGGCTGCAGTGGCTGTAAGTGTGCCACTGCACTCCAGCCTGGGCGACAAGAGTGAGACTCCAACTCAAAAAAAAAAAAAAGTATCCTTGTAGATCTTATCTCTGCTATTTATTTATTTATATGCTTAAGAAATATACCTTAAACAGCATTTGCAGTAAGGGGGAAATTTTTTAGGTGTAAACAAAATTAAGCTGGAAAGTTTAATTTGGAAACTAATTACTTGAAATTAATTTTTCATAATACCAATCTTCCAATAGTGAAAATAACTTCTTTTCAAGGTCTATTTGTTCAGCACATTGTCACTCCCATCTAAAACAAGACCTTGCAGCCATGCTCGGTGGCTCAGCCTGTAATCCCGCGCCTTTGGGAGGCTGAGGTGAGTGGATTGCCTGAGTCCAAGGGTTCGAGACCTGCCTGGGCAGTGAGACCTCATCTCTACAATAAATCAAAAAATCAGCCAGGTGTGGTAGCGCATGCCTTTAATTCCGGCTACTTGGAAGGCTTGAGGCGGAAGGATCGCTGGAGCCCAGAAGTTTGAGGCTGCGGTGGCCGGGAGTGGCCACTGCACTCCAGTCTGGGCGACAGAGTGAGACTCCAACTCCAAAATAAATAAATAAATAAATAAATAAATAAAAAAAAAAAAAAAAAAATAAAACAAGACCTTGCTTCAGTAAGTCAGCAATAATGAACTTGCTTAGGGACAACCTTAGGTTCACATCTGAGTTGGAAATGCTTGGGGAGCCTGTGACTAAATGACTTAAATATGCTTGTCATTTCCTTTGGTCTATGACACTTGGATTTTCCTCTATGATTATAATCCTACATTTCATTCTACATTTTCTTTCTTGTTTTTTTAAGCACAGGCTAAAAGTATCGTTGCCGGTGCTAACCATTAAGACAAAATCATATCCTAGGTGGATGTGAGGCTGCATATCATTATTAGAATGGAGAGATAAGAACTTAGGGGAGATAAAAAGCTTCTGATGATGTGAGTCTCATGGTAACATAGCATTGGAAACCTCTTTGAAATACTAAGTACAGGAAGCGGTGCCGAAGATTAAGGTCACAAAGCAGAAAAGGAAGAGTTACAATCTCTCTCTCCCTCCCCCCCACCGCCCCCCACAACTTGCTTAAGTTTATGCTGTTAGGAAAAAAGAGTGAAATTCTTATTTTTAGTTCATTTTTTCTTCGGTTTTAAACTACCATTATGAAGATGAAACGAACAAAATACTACCAGGAGGAACAGGATCCTGACAACTGCAGGGCTGATTACATCTCTGCGTTCCATTACTGATGCAAATTTTTGCTGAATTGGGAAACATGAGGCATTTTTAATGACAGCAAGTCCACTTTAGTGACAGTATGCCTTACAGAATAAATCAGAACCAACAGAGACACTTATGAACACTGATGTTAATATTTCTGACAGTTTAATTACATTGCACTGGAGCTCTAGGAACTCAATTGTACTGTTAAAATTCAGGTACAGTTCAATGAAGTGACTGGCATTGCTGTCCCTGAATTATTTCAAGAATGAAATTATAAAGTATAAACCTGATGATGTTAGTTAAGTTCATCTTTACAGACAAACTATGTGGGAATCTCAAATATGAGCACTGAAATACAAATGTAAAATTGACTTATTTGTTTAAATGGAAAACTTTCATAGCAGTGATAATTGTATCCATTCACTCATTTTTTAAGTGCTTATTACATTCTAGGTAGTATAAAAACAAGTAAGTATAATCTTGTTTTCTTCTTTTTTCAATATTTTCAAGATTACTCAAAATTGTTTTAACTTATCTGTTAAGAACTGAAATCAGACTTATCACATATATATATATATGCATGAGCAGAAGTGAATAAATTTACTGAAAAATGCTTAATGCCTAATATTTTCTGCATTAGATTATACTAGAAAAGTTGTTAAATGAAACCTGAAGTTGAAGTAACATAATTGTACTATTTGATACTGAGTCAGATTTTTTAAAGGCCTTTAAAAAAAATCACAAAAATGTAAGAACAGTAAGATAAATTTATTTATTCAAATCTTTATCAAAAGTCAACTATATGCCAGGCACTGTTCTGGGTTCTGAGGTTACAGCAATAAACAACCCAAAAGCCCCAATTCCATGAAATTCACATTCTTATGGAGTCACTTGGGTTAAACAAGTAAATTATATAGTTATATCTACTGGAAAGGGTTAGCAAGGATCAATGAAGAAAAGTTATTAGAAAGTGGAGTCTTGGAAGTCTGCATTGATGAGATGCAATTCAGTAAAAACTTTAGGACTTGAAGGGTATGACTCATGCAGATATTTGAGGGAAGCGTGCTCCAAATAAGTGTGTGTGATTGGCCTGCTCCAAGTACAACAAGAAGGTTAATATCAACAGAGTGACCAAGGGTTGGGAGAACAGTAATTCCTTGACCTAAGAATTTGGATTTGGTATGTGACCTGCTTTGGAAAGTGGAACATTAGCAGATATGACACAAGTAGTGGCTCAGACTGTCCTTGAGTGGTTGGGCTTGCCTGATTGTGCTTATGTACTGTAAGAAATACATAGCCAAGGTGGTTAGCTTACCTGATAGTCCAGGGAGAATGAGAGACATGTGGAACAAACCTGAATCCAACCCAGTCCACACCTGGAGTTAATCCCAGCTGAGCACCAGTAAAAGCCCAGCAAACCAACAGATACATGAATGAGAAATTTGCAGCTTGGGAATTTTGTGGTTATTTGCTACACAGCAAAGGCTGACTGATAAGTTGTTTCAAGGCACCAAACCAGCCAGTTACAATATTTATAGTTTGTCTAATCATACACTATGTAGCTACAATATAATAGGCAACCCCTAAACGTTCAAATGTTCCTGAATCTAACAATACCTGTGACTACAATGTGCCACCCAGAAAGAAATATTTTCTCTCTCTCTCTCTCTCTCGCTCTGTCTCAATTTTAGTATAGAGATGTGGGGTACAAGTCAGGATTAGGTACATGAGTGGTTTATAAGTAGGTGAAGTTTGGGCCTCCATTTGGACCTCACTTCACCTGGTTTAGGATCTGGGACCCTTAGTGAAGTTATGTGCCCCCCCTACCTCCCCTGGCAATGCCCTGATGCTATCGATCCCTTTCTTCTAGTATTGTGATAAATGTTCAAGATCCACTTATAAGTGAGAACATGTGGGATTCAAACTTTTTCACTTATTCAACAAGAAAATATTTACTGAGTCCCAACTGTGCACTAGAAACTTGGCCAGTCCTTATCTCTATTTCATTTATTCATTCCCTACTCAAATAGCATATTGTCAATGTCTGAAGGATTTTAAACTTAGTTCATGGAAATTCTTTTTTTTTTGTTGTTTTTTTTTTGTCTGTTTGTTTGTTTTATTTTGTTTTTTTGAGTTGGAGTCTCACTCAGTCGCCCAGACTGGAGTGCAGTGGCCGCTCCCGGCCACCGCAGCCTCGACCTGCTGGACTCCGGCGATCCTTCCACCTCAGCCTTCTGAGTAGCTGGAATTACAGGCACGCGCTACCACGCCCGGCTGATTTTTTGATTTATTGTAGAGATGAGGTCTCGCTGCCCAGGCGGGTCTCGAACCCGCGGGCTCAGGCAATCTACTCACCTCAGCCTCCCAAAGGCGCGGGATTAAAGGCTGAGCCACCA